GACCTGACTGAACTTTGTTGGATTGCTAGTTTAGGTACAGCAAAATGGTTGAAGGTTGAAAACCTCAGAACTACAACACAGAATGAATGAATGCCAGCAGAGAATTTAAAAATGTTAAAGGAAAAATTATAATCTCTACAAATTTAAGACGTAACATACTTAAAGACCCAAAATACATACGTGCGTACAAAATTTTACAGCTGTACATAAATACACACAATACGTATATGTTGTAAATACGTACTGTACGTATTTACAACTTTAAGGCCGAAAACTTTTGATAAATTTAAGTCTTCCAAAACGCATCATTTTTAGGAGTGCAATTTTTTTCCAACCTAAATAACATTTACAATAATTCGCCAAATGTTTTGATGATTTGGGGTTTGCAAACTCTTACACATCAGATCATAAATACTTTGACGTGAATCAGAGGTTACATTTCTGAAATATTTACAAGGTTTGTTATGCTTTTAAGTCTGAGAAAAGTATAGAATATAAATATATCTGATATTCACTTGTACAGACTTAATATGACAAACTATGTGTACTATGGTTGAGCCCTGGCCCCATTTATCACCTGAATGATCAGACAGATTCCACTGTCAAGAGCGCAGAAAAAAATATGTGCAGATGCATTCAAATGTCTTGTGTCAAGTGAAAAAAAAGCACCACAATGAAATGTGGAAAAAAAAAAAGGTTTTACTAACAGAACACAAGCTGAAAAAGTTGCATATTACATGGATTTGGAGAAATATGAAAACTTCCACATGGAGAAAACATTTGCATTTCACTTTCTGAAGATAAACTACAAAAATGCTATTTGGGAAAAAAAAGTATATAAAAAGGACAAATGTACACAATGGTTAGAAGTACAACAGATAGAGCAGTCGGTGAGGCAGAATTTCACTGGTTCTCCTCTGACAGAAGTCCTTGTAAAGTCTCTGAAATGCCTCGGAGTGCTCTGCATCAGCGGGCCTGCTGCAGCTTCTATACAACAGCGTACTGCTGATACAGCAGCTCTCGGATCTTATAGTAGTCGTCACACAGGCAGCCTTCTAGGCCGATGCGTCCGGGCTCCGTCTGGACAAAGAGCAGAAAAACGCACGGGTCATCTCGATCCTTAAGCAATAAGTTTGCATCTTTAAACACGAATGAACAAACCCTTTGCAGCAGACTGCTGGGCAGTGGAAGATTTACTGGTGGAGATCCTTCCTGCAGTCTTGGATTTTAAGTGTCTAATGCATCTGCATTGAGTTTTCCCATTCAACCAGCGTGTAAGCACACTCCATTAACAGTCACAACACTATTTGATTTCATTGTCTGAGCCGCATCTATTTTAAGTTCTTGTCAATTCTGCAGTTTGTTGTTAGGATCCTGGCTCACTCTTACTTTTACTTCAGTGAAGCACTGAGGTGAGGTTTTTATATCCTCCTTAGGGAAACTGTGTTTTATTCTCTCCGTCTTTAATGTTCTTTTTAGTCTTCAGTGTGTGAGAGTATATTTTCGTACAAGACTAAAGAACGTTTTCATATTGTAGGTGTTGTCTTTTAATAATACTCAGGGGTTTAAATAAAGCCTAAAAAGGCATTTATTTTGTAAGAATTATTCCTCGATTGTGCAAACCCCACTAAAGGTGATCCACAGCTAACAGGAACAAGAGTTCACTCAGCAATGGCTTTTTTGTGTTTTCACCTAAAATCTGGCTTTAGCACAGAAAAACAAGTGCTAGCTCAGCACTGAGTCTTTCTGGGTCAGACCCTACAAAGATAAACCTAAAAAAAATATGTTTGAATGCCTGAACCCCTGTACTGAACTGAAAAATCACCCTAAAACTTGGGATGCTCAATCCTGATCATAATAAGAAGCTCCTTTATAGCAATAGCAAGCTTCATGCATCTTTTGTGGCATGCAATGAAAAACGCAACAAACACACAACTAATGAGAAGAAGTGCATTCACTATGGTTGTTAACCTGATTAATTACATTTTAAAGGGAGACTGAATGTCATTAGTGAGGATTTGAATATTGTAGTAGCGTCACCTTTTTCTCACAGTATCTTTTTAATTTATCATTGTGTAGTTTATATGTTTAGTGCTGTTGGGGAAGTCTGCAGTGAGCTGACAGACGAGACGCTCAGAGTGGGGAGGACACTTACCCTGCGCACGGCCACCAAGTTGTTGCACACCAGAACTCCGCCAACGAATTCAGCCTGGATGCCCTCCCTCAGAAGGACCTGCTTGAAGTCAGACAGCCGAGGCTCGTTGATGTACACGGACTGATGCCCTGAAATCTGTTGAGAGTAAACAACTTTGGTCAAACAGTATTTCCACGCAGCTCAGCACAGCTTTTTGAACACAGTCACATTAAAGCATCTTCTCAGGAATCTCAAAGTCTCAATAGAAGCTTTTATCAGAGAAGAAATCAGGTTTGGGTCCTATTTGCAAACACTATTCTGAACATTTTGATCAGGTCCTATTGTAAATATTGGAAATTCTAACATCAACGCTATTAGTCTGAGTTGTACTAAACAAATAAAAACAAGCAAGCACATTTCAAATTAAATGTTCTCATTTGCCAAAATTCAGCTGATCTCCTGCAAAAGATTCTAATATGACAAAGTACGAATAACTTGAATATATTACAATAAAAAATAAATAAAAAACAACTCCCATTAAAACATTTAAAACGGGGAGTTTTTATATTTATTCGATCAAGAAAAAATACCCTCCAGGGATCCTCTACAATAAGAGTTTAAAGCATGAATGCACAAACAAGCTGAATAAGTCCACAAATCCTCAACTTCTTAGGAGGGAATTATGCTTTTCAATTAGAAAAACTGCCAGGAAGTTAAAAATATTTAAAGTAAAAAAAGGGTATTTGTTAAAGATGAAGTGAATTAAAGAAAATTTATGATGAAGTTAAATGCCTAACCATTTATATGGAAAGAACAAACACGTTGCAATGAATATGCAAATGCAAGGCATTTCTAAAATTGACCAAAACTCACAAAAACACACGATTATAACGCCTTTTTAAAAACACTAAAAAAAGGTTTCTGTTGCCCACCTCGTTCGGAGGCAGCGGCTCCAGTGTTGGAATGACATCACTCTCATCAGATAGCTCCTTCTCATCCTCTCCAAACAGGTTCTTCATGGCGCGCTGAGCTGCTACAGCCGTGGCATTGTGGTCAACGCCAAGCTCGGGGGCGACATCCATGGGTACTTCACCTTCCTCCACCTCTTCCTTAACACCCTCCTCCACCATCACGCCAGTATCCACCTTCGCTACCCGCATGTCCAGCACGCCATCGATCCATGCCAGCTCTGTGTCTCTGGCCTTGCAGAACTGCAATGAGCTCACCAAGGAGTCTTTCAAACGCACCTTTAAATTAAAAACATAAAAAGGATTAAAACACAGGCCTGTTTGGAAAAGTTATGGCTCACCTTAATCTGACAAAGAGATTATTTAAATTTACAACCCAATGGCAGAATTTTAAATTTGTAACTAGAATTAAAACATATTTTTCCTCCTTATTTAAAATATGTCATATTTTACTAAACTAAGCAGACATTACTGAAGCTCACCTGGTAAATGTGTGTCTCACTGGTGGCATCAACGGTTTCCTGCAGTTTGGGTGTGTAGACTTTGATGTCCTTGCTGAAAGCCTTGCAGGACTCAGCCAAATCCTGACTGGCTTCTGGTGACCCATTAACAATTACCAGCTTTCTGGGTTTCATCTGGTTAATAATCTTCTTTATGGAGTCACCATCAGAGCGGCCTTCGTAGTCTATATATGTTATCCTGGCTCTATGGAGAATAAAAACGAGGTCAAGTGTTAAAATGTTGATCTGACTTTGTATGATCTGTTGAGTGCAGTTTATCCTAATATAACAACATTTGGAAACCGTTACAAGAATATAACTCTGATGCATTCTAAACACAAACGTCATTATACTGAAGTTCACTGACTTTATTTCAAGATTTTCCACACTTGAGATGCATTTGGTGGGGACAACAGACAGATCTTGGTCCATGGGTTCATCTCCATTTGTCAAGCCGGATTCCAGTTTGTTCTTCTCTTCCTCTGTGGCTTGCAGTTCAGGAATCAGAAAATCTTCCATCCTTTTAAAAGCAGAACATTGATTTCTTGATAACCACACAGAAACTCCTGGCTTCCAGCAATTACAAGCATTAAGACTTCAGCACCTGATGACTTCTCCATACTCGTCCCATTTGATCCTCTCCTCGTGCACTGGGAACATTGGATAAGACTTCTTGGCTTGTTTGAAGAAACTGCCTTTACGACTCCCCTCACTCTTCATCATCAAGTCATGGTGCTTGGTTTTTACAGCAGCTGGCTGGTCCAGATCATCATCCATGTCGCTCTCATCACTTGAGTCCACATCCACCCTGCATATCCACAACACAAATCTTCAATCTATACGCACCAAATTAAATAGCTCCAAGTGGCAGTAAATTTCTCTACAGTAGTAAACAGTAAGACAATATAATTCATACGTCTTTACCAGATTTCATTAAAAATAAATAAAAATCTGTAGTTGGACAAAAGATGGACCCAGTACAAACTTGCACAATTTTTAACAAATTATACACCAAATTGTGAAATGTGGCCCAAATTCCAAATACAGTAACTCCTCTTTTAAAACTCAGTTAATCCGTCTGTTTACCTACTAAAACTTACTGTTGTTCTTGTACAAGTTTTTTAGCAGCTTCTTTCTTTATTTTCTCCTTTTCAAGATAATCTTCCAGCTCCTTGCCTTCAAGCTTCACTCTTTTCCTCACCTGTCATAAACAAAAGAGAAAACATAAATGTGATGAAAATGTAAGGAATTTATTGATGTGTTCTCAAAGTAAGAAACTGAAACTTCTTGTGGGGCAAACACTCTGTCAAAGCCAAAACAACTTTACAGCTGCTGGTTTTACCTCCAGATCCAACATCTTTTCTCCAGGATTGTCGATGAGGTAGCGGGCCAAGGTTCCAGGTGTGGTGCGGTAGGTCAGGATGATGGAATTTTTCGTATTTTCACACATCTGGATAAATAATTCTCTGGAGAAGCCAGACTCAAGGTCTGGCTGGCTGCAAAGTACAACCTTAGGGTTGGGGACCCGGGCCAGGTCTGCCAGACTGTGGCACAGGGTTAGATGTCTGAACTGGAAGGGGTTATTTCTTTTGTCCTCAAAACACCTCATGAGTTTGTCACTCATCCATTCCACCTAGAGAGAAGAGAGAAAAAAAAAAAGATTAGCAGGTGAAAAACAAGCATGTAGCAACATTTGCTCATTTGTTTCTGTAGAAAACATTTATATAAAATCAGATTATTTAATTATGGGAAAAAACAAAAAGTAAAATTAATTTTTTTGAGTGAATATCAGCGATTCATACCTGAGACTTGGAAAATTCCACCACATTGTAGCTAACATTGTTGAGCAGAGCTAATGGGTAAGCTCCAAGCCCAGCATCCTTTGTCCTCCAAATCTGGTCCAGGAGCTGTGCCAGCTCCAGTACTCGCCCAGCCGTATCCACAGAAATAAGGACATTACCATCACCCCGCAAGGTCTCCATTACATTGGCTGTGTAAGTGCAAAAGAGAAGTATGATTACTAGAACAATTGAGGGAAGGCAGAGGAAATGTACAAGCTCCGACACTAGGAATATTGTAATTATCATATTAACTGTTTTTATTCTCATATCTAAAGAGAATATTGCTTACTAAGCAGCTGCTCATCCCTTTGCTTGCGACGTGGTTGTACATAAGTAGCATTGAAAGAATCAGTTATCAGTAAAGATGGACGACTAATGCTCTCCAATGTGCAGCCGTTGAGGTGGCTAGAACAGACAAGTGCAAAAAATTAAAAATAATAATAATAGCACAAGTTAAACAAATGGCAACTACATTTTCATTTCACAGGCACATCTCTATTTACATTTCTCTCTTGTGATTAAAGTCCACAGCATACACAATTTCCTCCTCTCCATCCTTGACAATTTTCCAAATGGTTCCTCCAATCATGTGTCCAGCTGGAAGAGGAGTAATCGAAAGACCATGTCCCTTACCTGTGAGGAAAGAAATAAAGCACAACATTTTTGCAGACTGTATAAACTGGATTGCTCCATAGATCTTCCTTGTGATGAGCTGTAGTAAAATCTCACCTTTCAGATTGACAATTTGAGAGTATTTCAACTGCTGGATTTTATCAAAAGCACTGTCCACATCATCAAGGGTGAAAAGTGTGAAATCCTCACTGTTGTTTCGAGACTGGAAGCAGGAAAGAAATGTTTGTATGCACAAAAGCTTTATTTATAGGAATATATTTGCATTCATTTTCTATAGTCACAGATTACAGTACCTGATATAAATCATACATGAACATCTGACCCATTTTGTAGACAGGAATTGTGGCATAGATTGTACAGTTTAGACCCAGTTTGCCCACAGCATAGGGCAGGGCACCCAAATGAATTGGATCAGGGTGGGAGAGCAGCACCGCATCAACCTGATGAACATATCTGGAAGGAATATATAACAATATTTCAAGGCAAGCAAATAAACAAACAAACAAAAATCTAAAACAAAGGGCTAAGGAGAACATCAGAGGTAATGTAATACACTTACACATTAAGCTGCTCAAAATCTATTTAAACTGATTAACTTTATAAAAGCTTATGTGAATTGGTTTACTAGTGTGAGCAAATGTAGTATTTCAGAAAGTCTGCAAAGTGGAGCATTTTGTTGGCACGTTTTGCTGTTCCTTTCTGTCAATTACTGCCTCCCAGCTTTAAAGACACATACAACTTTAAAATGAAAAAAAAAAGGGAATAATTCTTACCGTTTCATGGCATCAATAATGTCCATTGAGAAGTTCTCGTCCCATCCACAGTCCAGGAGGATGCGAAATTCATCCACCTGCAGCAGGTAACACAGGGCGGATTCCTCCTGAACCCCTGACACGGCTGTCAGCTTGATAATGGATGTCATGTTTCTTCACTTGTCACGCTGAAATGACAAAACATGACAGTGGTTAGCACAGTTGCCTCACAGCAAGATGGTCCTGGGTTCAATCCCCAGATGGTCTTTCTGTGTGGAGTTTGCATGTTTTACTCGTGCTTGCGTGGGTTTTCCCTGGGTACTCAAGTTTCCCCCCCACAGAAAAAAAACAACAACATGCATGTTAGGCTGCCTTCAGGCCCAGGCCTCCCTTGCAAAAGAGATCTGTGATCTCAGTGGGATTTGCCTGGTTAAATAAAGGTTAAAAGGAAAAAACAAACATATAAGACTTAACGTTGTCTTCTCGTGAGAGTTCATTCATTTTAGCTTAGCATGTTAAAATAAAAACAAACAGGTGCAGCTTTAAAACAGGACTCAATAAAATAATTTCTTGCACGAGGCGGCAAGAACCTAAACTGCTGTGTATATCGTGGTTAAGACCGAAACGTTAGATTACTGAAACCTAAACACCGTTTTACCCGGTAAAATCTATTTAGCATTCAAGCTAGCTAGCAGTCTGCTCTTTTGTGTGGATGAGTGAACAAGAACGACGAATCATGAAACATACCATTAAATAGGAGATAAAATAAATTATTCTTCGTTGAAACAGAAGGAAAAAATTCTTAAAGTGGATTTTTGTAGTACCAACGTAAGAACATTTTTGTTAGCGATTTTCAACACACTAGATTGGCAGACATGTTCAGCGCTGTTACGTCAAAGGTGAAAGGGCAAAGGAGCGTACCAACGAGAGTGGAGAAAAGAGAAACAAAATAAGTACGTGAAAATTAAATAAATATTCTTAGATAGTATTTTAGTATTTTATATTTAGAAATAAGCGTTAAATTCTGCACTGTTGAAAATGATTACATGTGGTAAAAGAAAAAAACGATGTGGTAATTATTTTAATTGTTTGACGTACAGTACTCATCATCACGTTCTGCTTTTGGTACCGTCCAATGTCCTTCTCTGTGTGATCGGAAGGCCGAGGTTTGGTATTAAGATTCAAGTATATATTTTTAATATACGCATTGTCACATTTTATTCTTTGACTCTGAATGCTTTAACATATAGATTTTGCGAAACAAAGTAGTCAGTATTTACCATGTATAAATTAAACGTTAGAACACTAGCTAATGCTAACATTGTCCAGGATAGCATGATGGTTAGCTTCTCTCGGACTATTAAACATTTTCTGTCTCATATCTTGAAGGTAAATAGGCTTTGTAGTTATTTTAGTCAGTGATTGAAAGCAAATGCTTCACGATGTCTTAGCACAAACGTTGCGCATGTGTAATAAATTGTCAAAGTTGGTAGCAGTTTCATGTTATTAATTTATTGGTTTAGCTTCAATTGATCTAAGCTACACTTACAGCCGTGCAGGCTTTGAGAAACTTAAAATGTAAGCATTACTTTTATATACAAAAGTATGAAACATGTACGTGTCTTTGGTTTCCACAGGAACCATGCTCAAGTTTTTACCAAAACAAATGCATTGGTCATTCGTCTTGGTTCCCATGGGCTTCGTGATAGGATGGTACTTGGACAATCGAGAAGATGAGAACATGACAATTTTCAGGAACAAGAGTACATTGTACAAAAGGTAAGAAAAGTGACTGACACCAGCACAACCTAAGAAACTCATCCTCTGCTTATTCAAATCTGTTTTTCATGTCTGTCCACATTTGGACCTTTTAAGTTTTGCGTTTTTAAAGGATGCAATTTTTCACGTATTTAAACTATTAAAGCAAAAACATAAATATCTAAGACATGTGATCGTACATACAAGATATAACCAAAACTAAAAGCTTCCTCAAGCTTTTACTTTTTATACCCCAACAAAATACAGGTAGTTGCAAAACTTCAATTACTTTGTTGACATTGCCTGCCTGTACTACTACATAAAAAAAAAAAAAAAAAATCTATTAACATTTTTTAAATCCCCAGAAAGTATAGGATATATCATGAGATGTGTTCCTTCACTGGAGGTTCATTTTAACATATTTTTTTAACTTCTAAAGTTAGAATATTTTTTTATTGCTGTATACATTTGCATATAAAGTAGTAGGAGTCCACACCCCCGTGATAAGTGAAAAACCATGAAGTAGGGATCTAAATTTGCACCTCTCAAGATAAAAATCACAAAGTGCTTTGACAAACAAAACAAAAGAACAAAACAATTTAAGCAAAAGCGGATTAAAAAAGATTTAGCCAGCCTTTAAAGGAAGCCAATGAGATCAATGATCTGAGAGTTTGAGGGAGTTCCAGTCTTGGAGCCACAGAAGAAACTGTCTCCTTTAGTTTCGAGTTTTGTTTGGGGAACAATCAGCAGGTCTTAATTACAGGACCTCAAAGACCTGATAGGGGTGTAGGGATGTAAAAGTTCCGAGATGTAAATTGGTGTCTGTCCATGCAGAGCTCACCCAGTCAAAATCAGAATCTTGAAAGCACCCAGTAGTCCCAACTGTTCAAGTTTCACTCCCAATCTCACTCCTTCTGTGTAAATAAACAATTTAAATACTGTAATATTTTAAATAGACAATCCATGCAGCATGGATTGCTTATATAAAATACACAGTCTGGCTCAAAAAAACAAGTTGTTACCAAAAAAAAAAGATCTCACACTAATATTTGGTTGGACCGCCTTTAGCTTTGATTACATCATGCATTCACTGTGGCATTGTTTCGATAAGCTTCTGCAATGCCACAAGATCTATTTCCATCCAGTGTTGCATTAATTTTCACCAAGATCTTGCATTGATGACTAGACACTAAGCATGATGGGTACATCACTTCACCTGCCTCTCTTCTTACCCTAATGCACCCATCAATCTGGAACAGGGTAAATCTGGACTCATCAGCAGACCACATGACCTTCTTCCATTGCTCTAGAGTCCAATCTTTATGCTCCCTAGCAAACTGAAGTTTTTTTTTATCCTAGTTAGCCTCACTGATTAGTGGTTTTATTAAGGCTACACGGCTGTTCAGTCCCAGTCCCTTGAGTTCTCTTCTCATTGTGTGTGTGGAAATGCTCTTACTTTCACTATTAAACATAGCCCTGAGTGCTACTGTTGTTTTTCTTCGATTTGATTTCACCAAACGTTTAAGTGATCACCGATCACGATCATTCAGGATTTTTTTCTGGCCACATTTCTTTCTTGAAGACTATGGGTCCCCACTATTCTTAAAGCTTTTAATAATGCGTTGGACAGTTCTTAACCCAATTTTAGTAGTTTCTACAATCTCCTTAGAGGTTTTCTCTGCTTGATTCCAATGATTTGACCCTTATTTTTTTTTTTTTTGGGCCAGGCAGTGTATTACAGTATTTAAATTTAAATTGTAGAGAAGTGCAGCAGGATATTAAAGGGTTAACCCTTCACACAGCAGCACGGAGCAGAAATGTACTTCTTGATCACACTGTAACAACTGAACATAGAAGTTCTAAAATAATAAAAAAAAAAAAAAAACCTTTATTTTGTGATAGACGATTTTACGATGTGACATACTTTAAATTTTAAGTTGGAAGACAAAAGTCTATCAGTGTAGCTGGACAGCAAAGGGTCACAAAGCTGCTTCAGCGGGAGCTTCGCTCTGCATCTGTGGGCTGCACAGGTGCTAAATCATTTAAAATTTATTTTAAATAAACAATCCATGCCGCTCGTGTGGCTCATCCATCAATCCGCCAAATGTGTCATGTCCAATCTTAATTTGAAAAATCGCGAAAGTCGAACTGCAAAGTAACGAGAGACTACTGTACAAGGAATCTGATTCAGTCTCTGCGACATAAATATTAAAGAGATTTACTTTAGCAATATCATGCTTGTGCTTTTACTGGACCTAATTGTACAAACGGCAGGTTCAGGTGAATAGTTCAGATATCAAGCTTACTAAAATACAGAAGAAAACTCAAGAAAAGTAAGACATTTTTCAGACTTCTGAGGGGAGATCTATTTGTTAACATGATCCTAGACAAAATTTCAAATAGTTTTAAAAATGCATTTTGGGCTAATCTGAATGTCCTTGATACAATTAGATGAAACGAAAATGTTTTTCTCTTTGTAGGGAGCTGAAGCCTGGTGAGACGGAAACATGGAAGTAGACGTTTTCCTGCTTGGAAAGTCCCATCTTCTTTGGTGTGACTGATTCAATGGATTATCCTGAACTCTCATAAATGAAGGGGATTCCTGTACATGTTCTTTCTGAGATGCATCAACTAAAAAAAATAAACATGTCCTTTCTCCTTTAATTGTAATTATTTGTGTGTTCCAAACAACTTTATTAAACATGGATTCATTGAACAGCAAGGACTATATGAAAATTTCACAGAACCAGAAGACTACACGGTACACAAAGTTTTGTAATGAAGAGCGTGTTTTATTTAAATTATATACGATTCTTTTCATGCTCTCAGTGTAATTAAGCCATCTGTGGTGATGACCAAAGAGGTTCTGCAGTGTGGATAATCCCCTTCTCAAAAAGCAGTTCTGTCAAAGCAACCTGGAGGGGGGAAAAGCAAATCATTTTACAAACTTCAATATTTAAAATTCAGTTGAATAAGTGATCATAAGAACCTACCCTGTCCTGAGCAGAATCGCAGGGCAGGTTTCCTACAGTCACAAAGTTGGGATACGAATGGATCAGAAACTCGATAGCATCCGTGTGCTAAAAGGAATAATAAAAAGTTAGGTAGGTGCCATCATCACAGATGAACTCTGAGATAAATGCTTCTACCTCTGTTTGGATTTCTAAACTCTTGAGCTCCTCTTTGTGATAAACTCTGGAGTTCTCTGCCGTGTAGTAAAGGTAAACCGTGTTTCCATCGCTGCCCAACCTGGTAAAGAAATAATCTGTGAGCTAAGTTTCATAACTAAACAAAGCGCTAAAAGTTTGTCTTTAATCTGCGTTACCTGGCACAACCTGCTCGAAGAATTCTGATTTGGGTCTGCGTCGTCACTTGAACACCCACGTCCTTAACGTTTCCGCCCTCCCATCTAGCTGGAGCTCCTTGGACGCTGGTGGCCAGTTCATCTGAGAGCGGTCACGTAAATGGTTAAAACAGAAAACTGCCCGTTTCGGCTAGTTTTCTTCAGTGGCTCATACCTGGAGTCAGCGCTGGAGGCAGACAGTCATGAAAGAATTCCCTGGCTTTCTGATCGACCGCAGCGTCCACCGGGGCATACTCCGGTAGTTTCTTCATCAGATTCTCGATGTGGGCGAGGAACTCTTCCTTGCGGCGGGTGTTCTTCTGCACAAAACCAGCTTCAGCTGTTAAGGAGCTGAACCACAAGTGATAAATGGATACAAAAATAAAAACTACCTTATCAGAGTGCTGGACTCCCATGTACGTCAAGTAATCTAAAGGTAAACCACGTCTGAACTCCACGTCCTCCTCCATGGCGATCTCTAACGCAGCGGGAACAACCTGAGAAATGAGAGAAAAAGTGAAGATCTGAGTGGAAGAAAAACTTAGAGATGCGTAGCTGATTTTGTCTAAAGAGACATAATGGTTGACTGGAAAAATATTTGTTTGAGCAGCAATGCTGTGAGTGAGTTAGATAGCAGAACTGGTCAAAAATAAATCCTTAAATATGGCTAATTGTGTGTAAACAGACATTTGTGACAAACTATTAATGCTTTATCTCAAATAAGATAAATTCAACCTTAAGTTGTTTTCAAGTCATTCTAGCTCTGCCAACACAAAGTGACTGAGCTGGAAAACAAAACTTCATGTCTGTTCTGAGTGGTTCTCAACACTGGTCCTTGAGGAATGCCATCCTGCATGTTTTAGTTGTTTCCCTGCTCCAACACACCCGATTGAGATATTTTATTACTTCCTGAAGTTCTGCCAAAGCCTGTTAAGAACCCATTCATTCAAATCAGACAGGTCAAAACAACTAAAACATGCAGGATGGTGTTCCTCAAGGACCAGAGTTGGGAAACCACTCATTTAGATATCCCGAATGTTAATTTTTATTTTGCTTTCGTTTGCGTCAATATTTGTTTTACAATGCAGGGTTCGTATCGACTTTTAAATGGTTTTGTCTTCACTTTAGGAGCTTCGAGACAAAATGAAGATAATCTAAGGGCTACTTTTGGCCCGCAGCCTGTATTTTGTCATTTCGCTAGTAGTGCACAGGTCGGTGGTTTCAACCAATTTCTCGAGTCAATTGGAATTTGATTTTAGCGGTCCCAGTATAACTTGTCTTCCTATTTGTTGATTCCTTTAGAAGTATTTGATTTACCAGACTTATTTTGAGCGAACTAGAAAAACCTTTATTTATGCACATTGAAAGGAGGTTTTTATTAATCTCATCAGCCAAATGTGCATATTAAAAAGTTTTCTAAACCTTTGGAGTTTTCTAAATAACTAATCAAATAGTTTATGTTGCAAGTAAGAAGAGATTGAGTGCATTCTTTAAAAAGGGTAAGATCAGATTGGTTTAGATCTACGGACGCAGCCCTCTGCGGTTTCTGTTGCTCTCATGTTTATCAGCAGTAATCGCTCTGGGCGTCAGAGGGTCTCACCTTCTGCAGCAGGTCCCCCCAGCTGTTCTTCTGGTATGAGGAGATGGTGATGTGCAGTGAATGTGCATCCGGTAGGCAGTTGCCCTGATGGATGAATCCTCGAGGGAAGTAAAGAAGATCTCCAGCTTCCAGCACCACATCCAGGATCGGCTTCCCAACTTCTGACTGGTCGAAGTTTGCTGGAGAGGGATCACGAACGAGTCACCTCTAGGAAATGTTTGCTACAAGGTTTAAAAAGCTTTAAAAATAAAAAGAACTGCACGTTTAAATAAGACTTAAAAATCCTCTGTGCATTAAGCTGCTTTCCTTTCTGTACTGGTGTTTAAAAAACATTTTAATTATAATAATTACATTAATTAGACTTTGTATATTTTTTACTCACGACTTGAAAGTACAGGCAAGACTTCACCTTCTGACCTAAAAGGAAAAAATTCAGACGAAAAACATGAAAAATTAATTACCTGCTTCCACAGCGATAAAGCAATAAGTTTAATGGTTAACTCTCTTCTAATGCACAAACAACCAACATTTGAACTTTATATTGTTGATGCTGATTCAGTGCTTTTAACTTTTAGGCTTTTTAGATTATTCGCCCAGGTGAAATGCAGCTGATTTGACCATTAAAGTGCATTTATTAAGGAAAAGTTCAACTGAGACACACCTTTTCTATAATGTCGAGCAAACAAATAATTGTTTTAGGCAGTTATCTTGTTAAATTTCGACAAAATGCACAGTCCTCCCTCTGCACACTCCCACTTCTGCAAATTGATTTTTGAAATGCAGCTGATTTGAACATTAAAGTGCTTTTATTAAGGAAAAGTTCAGCTGAGAAACACCTTTACTATAATTTTGAGCAAACAAATAATTGTATTTAAGTGTTAAAGTCCTCCATTTTGGCAGCCAATCAATTTTTGGCACAACACCGGCCCACATTTCTGGTTGGTCAACGGTGCCGGTGATGCATAATAGATGCAACTTATACGGCGAAGTGACATATTTATGTTTATTTCCCCTTTATTAGACATATTTAGACTGACGCGACTTATACGGTGGTGCGACATGTACGGCGGAAAGTACTGTACTTGCTCTTAGTTTTCGTATGCTCTATTTAGCTATGGTCTTGCTAATTTTATCTTTAGCAACAGATTTGATCAATTTCAAAATTTAGGCTATTGTTTAGTCTATTTTAATTTTTACTAACGTGTAGCTTTTATTTTAAAACAGTTTAGTTCATTTTAGCTTTGAACTACAGTTATGTTAATTTCAGCTGTAAGCTACTGTTCTGATCATTTTAGCTTTTAATTACAGTTTAGCTAATTTTCACTTCTAAAAATGTTTTTTTTTGCTGATTTTAACTTCTGTTCTGCTTTTTATTTATTCAATGATTTAATTCAGCTAATTGAAGCTGTCAGCTTTCACGAAAGATGCAGTTTCTATAGTTTAAAATAACTTTTGCTGTAAATAATTTATACAAAGTTATTAGTTTATGGTTAATCTTACACTGCTTTGCTTGAAATTAAATCAAATCTACTCATTTCCATTACCTAATTTTTTATCACTTAGTTTAGTTTAGTGTTTGATGTCATAAAAATCAAACTGTTTAATCAACCAATCAGGTATTTTGCTCCATTTCTTAATTGTTATAGTGTAAATAAAGTAAATCCGGTGTGGTGCTGCTTTCCTGAGAGGATGTATTCCAGCTGTGTTTCACCTTGGGCTGTAAACCCTCCAGTGTTTCTTCCCCTCCAGCTGAACCACGAAGGCCTCGATGTCGTCATAATGTGGAGCGAAGCCCTGTGTTCCAGGTGGGGTCAGGTATCTGGTCATCAAAACAAAACCATCATTTAAAACAGGACCGAAAACATTTGCAGCATCAGACATTTATCTACAATTCATACACGTTAGCTCCCGCCATGCTGCCAAACTGCTCCTGGAGGATGGAGAGAACGCTCCACACCGTGGAGGAGAACGCCTGAGGATTCAGCATCCGGATGGAACAGCCGCTCTAACGAGGAGAGGTTTGGGACAAAGCTTAGAGAAAGTGAAGGCACACGGTTCTGCACTGGAAATATCCACACATTTAATATAAATAGAGCTTTCATCAGCGTGTTCTCACCTCGTAGAAGTCCCACACGGTGAACGGCAGAGCTCTACCTGGAGGATTGTGCGTCTCCCTCTTTCCGTTAATGTAGCTGGTCACATCCAGGTTTACTCCAAACTGAACATCTTCCTGTATTAAACAACAAAAACGTCCTGGTTTAGTGCTTTTAACTCACTCAGTTTTAATTCTTTTATTTTAAGAAGGTCAAAAAAATAGAGAACTTGATCTTTCTTAGTTAATTTAATGAGAGATTAAATAAAAATGACAAATGTAACTAGAAAAAAATGCATTTCCTGCAAAAATGCAGTGTGAATGCTTAATGCAGAATAACTTGCTGAAAAACAGCTGAAATTAGCTAAAAAAAAAGACTTTGAAATGTAGCTGAAATGGAACAAGCTTAATTTAACAGCAGAAAGGACACATATTTGTCAAATTGGGTTTAAATGAGCAAAAACAAGCACAGAAATTAGGAAACTGGCTAAAAAAGCTGAAATTAGCTAAAAAAAAAAATAGCTGAAAAGTATCTGAAAAGGCAGGAAAAAGCTTTAACTACCAGTAGGAAGCAGAAAGAGCTGAAATGAGCTAAAAAAAACATGTTGAATTACATGAAAAAGCCTAAAACAGCATCAAAAGAGCTAAAAAGTAGCTGAAAAGGCAGAAAAAGCTGAAAGGAGCATAATGAGCTGAAATTAGCATAAATAAGTTATCAGTAATTAGGCTGAAAGAAGCAAAAATTACCATGAAATACTTACATTTAGGGATGCACGATATTGGATTTTTGGCCGATATCCAATATGCAGATATGTTAAAATTTATTTTGCCGATAAATACGGATATTTTTCCCCCTAGACCTACTTACAGAGACTACATATCTTTCTCTGCTGTGGAATTAAAATACTACTTTATTCTGCATGGTCTTTGTCAATTTGGCCTGCTACCAAATGCAGATGCCAAAAATGGGGCTGAAAATGATGTAACACTATATAAATATAATATATATATAAAAATTGCCTTTTATATCGGTGCATTATTTTGATGGAATGACCGACGTCCGATATTTATTGCCAAATCAGCCGATACCATGCCGATAATATCGTGCATCCCTACTTGAATTTATCTGAAAACTGCTGAAATTAGCTAAAAAATGCTAAAAACGTAGCTGGAAAGTTAGAACAAGCTTAAATGAGCAGAAAAAAGCAGAAAGAACATAAGTTTGGCCAATTAGGCTGAAAGAAGTAGAAAAATGGATCACAATAGTGTGAATGCTTCATAAACATTCACATAATTACTTTTAAGCCTTGAGCAAAATGTTGTTGTCAGTCAGAGAGCATATATTCTAATATAAACAGTTGGTTATCATTTAATGTCATTCTCCAAAACTTTTTCATGCACTAGTTTATTTAAAAGAAAAATCCAGTCTTATATCAAAAGCATTATTGTTTAATTATAGAATGAGACTAATAAACACCATCAAACCCATTTTCTATCACCTAATTGTTTTCTTACCTCTCTCAATATGCGATCAAACTCAGCTGTTGAAAACAGTCCTTTGTAGTAATCTGGATTGTTGCGTTGAACAAAAATGGGCTTCTTTTCCCACGTGTCTCTTAAAGAAGTGAGAAAAAAAATATATATTAATCTTCATTATTTCACTGTGATCCAGGGCTGAACAATATTTCAGGTTATGCAGTGTTTTATGTTTGACTCTTTTCTTATTCAAAACTTATTGTTCATTTCTTGCTAAAAAAAAAAAACTGTAATAATCCATACATACATACATTTGCTACTAAATTAAATTATTGTTTTGCTGTGTTTTCATATTACTAAACACAGCTGCATTTAGGATACTTTTTTTTTAATATTATGAAGCGTTGTTTTAAATAGAAAGCAGTCAACACTCATAGAAACACCTCCATTTATGGGCGATCACCCCCATGAATAAAAACACAGAAATGGGTTTGAACTAAACCCTTCTCTGTGTGGGGTGCTGCTTGTGATGTGGAGTAAGTTAATAGCCACTAAAAGTGATTTAAGGAAAGAAAACTGGTAGGTTTGCAGCACCCAACCCTTGAAGGATCACTTCTGTGTGGGAACAGGCAAATTTAATCCATTAACTTGGGAAAAAAAAACTACCAGACTGATGCATTATGGGAGACTAGTCCCACACAACTCTGCATACCAGATAAACCCACACATGTTCAAGTATATCCTGAATATATATGGGCCTCTAGTAGCAATAAAATAACACTGATTTCAGAATGTAATTTTAGTTTTAATTGGATCTCACTCTGATTAAGCATCTGAGGGATATGGACCCACCATAAGGACAACTTCTTAACTCAATTCAGATTTGACTGTTGCCAGATACCGCCTGAAGAAATCAGTTGGGAGAACCTAAATTATACACTGGAGAATCAGCCATTTTAAACAGAAACCTCCATAAATGCCAAATAACACCTCTTTAAAAGTAGCAAATGTCACTTTGACAAGCTTTGATAAGCAAAGCTGTGTTCAGGAATAACAGACAAAGAGACTGCAGAACTCTACCTGAAAAAATCAGCTTCAGGAACAGGTTTGATGAGCCACTCAAAGAGATGTCTTGCCCTTACTCTGCTGTTGTTGACTTTTGTCATCTTAGACATAACAGCCTCTAAAGAACTTCCAGTAACACGCTTCACCTTTAAAACATAAATAAGCTCAGTTAGGCTTGTAAAAGCACACGATTTGAAACAATGGCAAGCTTAGTTTAGTACAAATCCAACTTCACTTCAAAGAAAGGCAAAAGGTTTAAAGGTGCATACAGGACCAGCTGTTTGAGGCTGCAGCCTCTCTTCTCTCCGAGATTGCTTCAGAAGCTGCTTCTTCGTTTTCCTCCTCTTTGCTTTCAGCTGAGCTTTAGATAATTTAGATGGGTTTACATTAGCAGCTGCAGCCTCGTTGTCTTTTTTCTTTATCATGTCCACCTGATAAAACACGTATTTTAAGGACAATAAAATGACCCAGACACATGAGGAAAATGGATCATATTTTAAACACCAAATCAACAGTTGAAGTAGAGTCCGGTATTAAGTCGAAATAAATTTAATTACCTGTGGAGAGGGTTTTTTAGCAGGAGGGGGTTCATCTGACTGCAGTGTTTGATACAGAGAAAAGGCAGACATGTGTTTTCTCTCCATTTTCATACTAATACGTCATCAAAGTGCGACTGCCTGCTTCCTGCAAATCATTTGGACTCAATTTCGCCCCCTTCAGATTAATCTTGCGAACTGCAGCCTAAATGTAATAATAATAATAATAATAATAATAATAATAATAATAATAATAATAATATAATCAATTGTAAACTTCATATTGTTTTAGTTAGTTAGTTAGTCGACCTATTTTATGAGAATACTTTTAGAATATTTTACTTTCAGATTGTTTATTTTTTTATAATTCTTTAAACTGTAAATTTAGGTTATTCACTGGTTTTGTTAAATTAATCATCACTCTTCCAATAACATACGTTGTAATATGTTATAAAATTTGTTAATAATAATATTAACAATAAACATTTCTGTATTTATTCATATATTTATTTATGTATTTATTTAAATTATTTAATTTAGTTAGTTAGGTAGTTAATTATTTATTTATTTATTGAATTATTTATTTAGTTAGTTAGTTAGTTAGTAACCTTGTGTTATGAGCATGTTATTAGAATATGTTTACGGTTTGCATCAATTTTATATTAATTGTTTTTGTCCATAATTGTTTTAAGGTGAAACAAATTTCTTAATTTTAATTAAATAATTTTCTGTTTTTACAATTAAAAAGTTTTTTTTTATTTTTATTTTTTATGTTTGCCAGTCCACTTGTTAGATAATTCTAAAAGTGTGCGTTACTCAAATCAACCACAAGGGGGCGCCAGTTCTCCGTTTTGAGAACGGAACAGTTCGTTCAGCATCGTTTCCCACAATGCTTTGCGTGGAGTCCAGCCGTCTCTCTCTCTCCCCAACAATGCAGCTTTTAATGGAGCGGTGAGCGCTGTGATATGGAAGCCGTGCAACACCACACAAGGTTGTCCGGGGACCGTGCTCGTTAAAATTTAACCTTGGGAGGTCCAACCGTTGGTCCAACCTCTCGACCGGTTTTTACCTGCGTTACTTGACATCCTGAGCTGGTTTTACTGAGGTGAGTAGCCCCTTCAAGCTAACATTTGGTCTGTAGTTCAGAGTAAATTACATTTTGTTATGACCACCGCTGCTGCTGGCTAGCAGGCGAGCTAACTGGACAGATGGGACACCGTTGTGCTTTTTCTCTGCATCTCACATCTTTATTACGGTAACATCATGTCTTGACGTAGTCCCTTTTTTTTGTCGGACATTTCTAATTTGGCTTGAGTTGCAAAAACTGGGTCTCGAAGGTTTAAGTTTAATTTTCTGCAGCCGCCACAAACCGAGTGACTCTTAAACACGTCAAACTCAAATGTAGTTGATGCAATTTTCACTATCTGCAATTATTTATTTTAGTTATGGTTTAAAAAAAAAAAAACGTGTGTTCTTTCCACCCTAAAGTTATTTTAAGTGCGACTAAAATGCCAAATCGTTTTAAAAATGTTCCTGTTAGGTATTTCTAGCAGTTGTCATAGTTTATATATTCAAATATTACAAGCCACTAATACATTATTCAAAACACTTTAAAAAAGAGGTTGTGATTGGTGTTTTTAGTGTCACAGTTGCACTAAATTATACATCATTCATTCTGTCTGAAATGTTTTAATTAATAATTAGAAGCAGCTTGTATTGACAGTTGACTCCACAGGTCCATCTAAAAAAATAGAATATTGTGAAAATGTTTTTGTGTGTGTGTGTCAGTCATTTCAGAAAGTGAAACTCATATTACATAGATGCATTACACTGAGTGAAGTATTTCAAGGCTTTATTTCTTGTGATGTTGATGATTATGGCTTACAGATAATGAAAAACCCAAATTTAGTGTCTCAGAAAATTAGAATATTGTGAAGAGGTCCACTATTGTGACCTCCTGGTGTCACCCTAATCAGCTGATTAACTCCTAGACATGAGAGAAATGGCTCATTCCTCAAGTCGAGCCACTCTTGAACCAGAGACAAAGTCAGAAGTGTCTTACCTGGCAGAGGAGACGAAGAGCTGGACCTTTGCTCAGTGGTCCAATGTCCTCTTTTCAGATTCAAGTAAAATTTTCACATCATTTATAAATCAAGATCCCAGAGTTTGGCGGAAGAGTGGAGAGGACCAGAATCCACGTTGCTTGAAGTCCAGTGTGAAGTTTCCACAGTCGGTGATGGTTTGGCGCCATGTCCTCTGTGTTTTCTGAAGTCCACAGTCAGTGCAGTAAAATACCAGGACATTTTAGAGACTTGCTGACGACCTTTATGGAGATGCTGATTTCATTTTCCAGCAGGACTCTGCTCCTGCCCACACTGACAAAGGTACCAAAAGGTACCTATGTAATAATCTAATTTTCTGAGACACTGAATTTTGTCTCTTTCATTATCTGTTAGCCACAATCATCAAAATGACAAGAAATACAAGTTTGAGGTATTTCACTCTGTGTAATGAAGCTATATTATATATAAATGAAAAATACGAGTTTCACTTTCTGAAAGGATTCACAAGAAAAATTGGAACTTTTTCACAATATTCCAATTTTTTTTAAACGCACATGTAAATATGGCAAAAAATTTAAAGCTTTTGTGCAACCCATTAGAGCTCTGAATAAGTGTTGAGGATCAGTCTCAGCTACTACCACAGCAAACTGTAGGTTAATTGTAGGTTATTTACCAAAGGTGATGCATAATAATAGTCACCCTGAACCTTTAATATCTGTAAAACTGTTGGAGTTATAGTTGTTCTGGCTGTTGCAGCCATATTGAATCACATTGACTCCAATCTTTACTCACTTATATATCCAATGATTACTTTCTGTAACTTTCATTAATGTTTGTCTAGTGGTTCATGACAGTTTGCCAACAGGCAAATACAGTCAAAAAAACATTAACAAAATTAATACAGTTTTGTTTTTTTTGCACTTGCACATGTTTACGGCAAGTCATAATTTTAATTCACATTTAATATTCCCCTTACTTTGAGTGGGCATGCCATCTTTTAAATGTTTCTGAGTAAAGCAGATTATTACCTCATTTGCATTGTGGCAGGAAACAAAGTTCAGAGCGACCTTGTGTAAACATTTTAACGCAGGATAGTTTGATGGTGTTGAGCTCTGAGCAGATGTGAACCCCGAGGAAGCCAGCAGGTGTTGCGTTTTCCAGGTATCCAGTTTAGCCTAAGTCTGAGCTCTCAGTTATCCGCTTCATTGCTTTGTCAGAGCTGTCAGCCAAAGGCGGTGAGGTGAGTTGATTTGTGGCTGTAACCGACTACGTGGGTCGTTCCAAGTTGCTGAGCAGAAATCTGAACCTAGTCCTTCAGAGAATCCTAGAAAAGAGAATGCAGAAAAGTATCTGCATGAACCCCATACCATTGTATGTAAAGCCGAAATGACTCCACCTTGTTTCCAGTTTAAAACAACTTTAATACTTTTAAAACCAGACTACATGTTGTGATAGACGGGAATAAAAAAAAAAACAAGCGCAGCTCTCATCCTCAGTCTTGTTTTAAAATATAAAAAAGCTTTTATATCATGCGATTTGAACTTTTGGTCGTTTTACAATCAAACTAGACCATAATGTTGACTATTATGCACCACACAGGGCAGCAGGTTTCCCGTTGTGGAGAAGAATATTGATCTTTATCTCTCGAGAGTCGCACCAGTTTCTTGTAGTCACATTTTGCTGCAATTGCGCACAACAAAAACGACAATAAAATCAGCATTCTTTACCTTTTAGTAACAGAATCGTTATCGTTGTGATATTTTGGCTTAAGAATTTTACCAACATAAGGCATCTGTAAATCATGATCTAAAGTAATGTCTTCAGCATGTTTTATTAATGGCTGATTATCACATTTTCTGGAGTCTATTTAGTTTTGTGGTAAAATCAGGGATGGGAATTTTTAGGCTCCTCGGCTACAGTTCAGACGGGCTGGGATGCATTTCTAAAACAATTCTTCCTGCTTTGTGATGATCTTAAAATGCATAAACACTGTTATATTTTCATGTTTTAATAAAAACAAGATAGCAAAATTTAATGCAACACCCCCCCCCCCCCCCCCCCCGTTAATCACTGTTTACCAACAGTTAGCATAATAGCTAACTGAAAACGCCATAAAAAAGCTAACATGATTGGCGATGTTTTTAATCACTGGAAATGCATACATGGATCAACCGTTTCAGTCATTACTTAAGGTTTTGATCCAGTTTGACATGACTCAACGAGGAAAAGGGCCGGCAACAGAGGACGGGGCATGCCAAAGACCCCATCTTAGCACCGACATAACTGGTTTGTTCCACTTTGGAGTAAGCTGTTTGGGGGAAGAATCAGTTTTGTGTTGTTTCCTTGACTGATGAAGCCTTCTGGATGGAAGGTGAAACGTTTCAGCACAAAAAAATAAACTGTCCAGATGACCTGACTGAAAATTGTTGGATTGTATACCTGGATTATAGAGCATGGACTTTTTTTGATTACTTAAGATTATTCGTGTTACGATAACTTCAGCTTTTATTTATAGATTTATTTTCTTCAGGATTCAGCAAAGTAAAGAGAACTACGGTGTCTCTACTAGGACAAACGCCACCACAAAATAACCAATCTGCTCTTTAGTTATTTTTGGCATTTAAAAATCAATTTAGAGTATTTTGTGTGCACAATCCTAAAAACATGTTTTACCTTCCGCCCCTTGTTAAAACGGAGCTTAGCAGAAATTCAGATGGATGCTTCATAATTTATGAAGCAGCAGTTCGTGTTTTGGTTTATTTCACCAACCATCTTTCTCGCACTGAACCTTGTTTGACACCAGCTGGCAGAAGAACTGCTGCTCTAATGCAGTTAAGTTTTTCTTCTTCTTTTCCCATCTCTGCATATGTTTTCCAGCCCCATACCTCAGGTTATGCTCAGGCTGGCTCACTGCCCTGGCTTAACTAAAACTCCATCATTATTTACACCTGAAGGTTTCCTTTCTGCTGTCGTCATGCGCCAAAGTTATCTGCAGGGAAAAGGCTCAGTGTGGTTGGATGTTTTCTTGTCAAATATTCAGTTTGGTGAAGTATCGCTGTAACATTAGTTTTTTTTTATTTATTGAAACATGTGTTTAAAACAAGTTTAAGCTAAAGATGAGCGTAGTCCGCACCCGTCTTGTGTGAACGTTTTTATCAGATGTCGGATGCTTAAATCAATGTGCAGCTCAGGGTTTTTAATGTCTCAACTGTTTTTTGTTTTTTTTGTTAGGTAGCAACAACTCACTCCAACAAAAGTTTCAAGAAATATGTCAATCCAAAGCACATTTTGCTAAAAAAAAAAGAACAACTTTCGTTTTGTGGCATCCTTTTTATGGACTTGTACGTTCAAGTACTGCTCATGGGAGTTTTCATTTAAATAAAAACTTTATGCTTGAAAATAAATGATTTGACAAGTATCAGAGTTGATGCTCAATAATTCAGGTAAAAAAATCCAACAGAGTTCAGTCAGGTCATCTGGACGGTTTCTTTTTTGTCGAGACGTTTCATCCAAAGGACTTAATCAGTACGAGGAGCCACAACAAACTTGGTCCCACAAGCAGCACACTCGTGGACCAACCAGTTTGCTGGTGATAAGATGGTTTCTGGGGCCCGCTCTCTCCCCCGTCGACTCCTCTGAGGCAGCCGTAGCTTAAGTGGTTCAAACCATCAAAGTCCATGCGCAATAATCCAGGTAAAAAAAAAAATCTAACAAAGTTCAGTATGGTCTTCTGGACGGTTTCTTTTTTGTTGAGACGTTTTGTCCTTCATCCAAAGGACTTCATCAGTCCAAGGAGCCACAACAAACTTGTGGGACTAAGTTTGTTGTGGATCCTTGGACTGATGAACTCCTTTGAACGAAGGACGAAAAATATCTTAAAAAATAAAAAACGGAAACCGTCCAGATGACCTGACTGAACTTTGCTGGATTATTTTACCTGGTGGATCTAACGAGTGATTTAAGATTCCTTTAACAGTAGATCAGTCTAACATGTCAAAAGTAGTTGATGAAATCTGCCAGTTAATCGCTGATTCATACTGCA